TAGGTTGTTGATCATGTAGTCCATCATTGATGGTTTGTCCGGAACCAATACCGCCATGCACAGTTGTGCAGTAACATCAACTGCCGTTAAGACTGGTATGGTCTTCGGATCTTGTTGTGATTTGATGTAGGCAAAATCCACTTGGATGATGGGTTGTCGTGATTGTTGTTTCTTGTAGTTGTCCTGGCGTCCTGTGCCTTGAACGCAAATTGGACACCAATTTCTGTATGGTAGGTGTGTCAAGTTGTGTTCTGCTATTTGTTGTGGAGTGGGCTGCTGAGGTTGTCGTAGTCCTCTTGCTCTGTGTGCTTCATGATGCTCGTGTTGTTGTTCCTCATCGTGGTTCTCCTGGATGTACTCGTAGTCTTTCTTCACGGTGAACCTTGTTGTTCCTTTCCATTGAAATGGTAGTGCTGCGTTGCCCATGACTGTCCAGTCATCTTTGCGTTGGGAAACTTCTCCAAAGTTGTTGTGAGTGATTGTAGTTCTGTGAGGTTCGAGTGTGTTGATTGGTGGATGTCCTGGTCCATCTGTTGGAGTGAATAGAGGAATAAGTGATGTGTGGTGTCTTATCCAGTGTTCACCTTGTCTTTCCCAGTAGTCTTGGTTGTCCTCTGTGAGTGGTCTGTGGATTGTCTCCTTTGGTTGTGTGGTGTCAAGATTTGTAGAAGGTGCTACTTTAGGTCTCCATATCTTTTGTGGTGCTCGTAGTTGGATCTTTGATCTGGTTGGTGGTGTGTCCATTAGCCGTTGTGGTTGTGAGCTCTGCCTTGTTGGTGTTGTCTTTGATGTTGCTCTGCGTGTAGGTGCTATCTTTCTTCTGAATCTGGTTTCCCCAGTCCAGTTGTCACCTTCTAGTCTTCGTTGTAGTTCTTGCTTGGAGAGTTGTGTTGGGTTCTCTTGTAGTTGTTCTTGCTCTTGCCCTTGTCTGTTTATGATGGTTAGTCGCCAATCATCTAGTTCTTCTTCAGGTATTGGGCAACCACTGTTGTGTGGTGTGAATAGTGCTTTGCGTGGTCGTTTGTGTACTCTGATGGCGTAGTCACCATCAAGTTTCCAGTAGTCAGTGTTTCCACCAAGGATCTGTCGTAGTCCTTGGTCTGTGTGTGTGAGTGGTGCGATTTGTTCTTGTTGTTGTGCTGCTCTCTCTGTAGGTTGAATCACAGCAATGGATTTTCCACTGTCTGTAGTCATTGGATAGATGTCGAATCCTGTAGGGATGTCGATCTTCTCTGCTCGTAGGTAGAAAAGTCCTGAGTGTCTGATGAGGTGTGCTTGTTGTTGTCCATGTGTGATGGTGCAGTGTCGTGGAGTGAAGTCAAGTCCATATCCTCTATCAAGTAGTCTTGATGCACTGAGGATTGGGTACTTCAGATCACAAACGTAGTAGGGTATCATGATCCTGAAGTTGTCCTGCTTGTAGGGAACGTACTTGATGCCGTAGACAGGAATCTTCTTGTTGGTAACCGTGTAGAGTTGTGGAACCGATTCTCCACAAGGTCGTAGCGGTAGGTCTGGTGCGTAGTCCTTCGGGCAAACGTGTGTAGACGCTCCTGAGTCGATCAGCAGGTGGTGGGATGACTTGAAGTTGGAGTACATGATGTAGTGTGTGATAGTGTTCTCAATCTTCTTGTTCCTTTGTTGTTGTCTGGCTGCTGCTATATCAAAGTGTGGCTGTGTGTTGTCTTCTTGTAGGAATTGTTGAAAGCTCTTGCTGTGGTCGTTCCATGATGTTGTGTGTGTTGTTCTCTTGCCAAGTAGTGATTTGGATTTGTGCTTGTGTAGTCGTGAGTTTGCTTGTCTGATGTGTCCAATGGTGAGGTGTGACTCGTTGATGCCTCCAATGTAGTTTGCTGTGTCCTCATAGCTGTTGTCATTCCAATCCCAGCTGTTGTCATAGTCGTAGTCGTTCCAGTTCTCCTCCATGTAGTTCACCTCGTGTTGTCCTTCTTCTCCTTCGTAGTACCAGTCCCAAGTGTCGTTCACATCCTGAGGTAGTTCTTCATTGTTGTCGTGATCTGCTTGTTCTTGTTCTAGTGGATGTAGTTCTTCTCCTTCTCCTATGTGCCATACTGGCACTCTGCAGTCTTGTGCCCAGTGGCCTGGTTTGCCACATCGATGGCATGTTGTGTAATTGTTGTTTCCTTTTCCTTTTGATTTGCTGTAGTTTCCTTGGCCTTTGTAGCCTTTGCTTGATCCATGTCCTTTGGATCCTGAGTAGCCTTTTCCTTTGTTCTTGTTGTATCCTCCTTTGTTGTAGTTTCCTTTGCTGCCTTTGTCGAATCCTTTGTAGTGGCCTTTGCTTCTGTACTTACCTTTTCCTTTGTTTCCTTTGTAGTGTCCTTTGCCTCCATATTTGCCTTTGCCTTTGTAGTTTCTTCCTTTTCTCCAAATGTTGTCCACGTCCATCGGTGCTGTCCCACCATTGTAGTTTGTGCCAACTGCTGAGCTCGCTCTTGAGAATGCAGAGATGGTTTTGTAGTAGTCCAGGATGACAACT